GACGGTGTTGGGGGAGACCAGCGCGCCCGCGCAGCTGTGCCGCCGGCTGTACTTCGCGTCGCCGTACATGAGCGTGACCTGCACGACAGTAGAACACAGGCCTCGTCAAAATCAGGACTTTAAGCAAAACGTAAACGATAACCGTCTAGCACTCTGCTCTTACCACTTTGTGGCGCCAATTTTTAAGGTCCTCGGCATCGGGAGAAACGTGATTGTGGTGGCATACGTCATCAGCTGTCAATTCAGGCTTAACCTCTTTTGTGTACGCATGATAGTTGCCACAAAATTCCGTGTGGAATACTCTGCACACTGCATAGAAAATGGACACACATTGAAAAAGCATGCGACTCTGCTATTATGCCGTTGGCTCATCAGGAACAGCATGAAGAAAGGACGACAGCACTCACTGCCTCTGGCCACGGTCCCAGGACCCGTGTTGGGCACCTGCACGTCGCTGCCCTCCGACTTGACGCGCACGTTGTTCACGCAGCCGTCCGGTCTCGGAGGCCAGACGACGCTCTCGATCCAAGGTACGTAAGCCGCCACCCTGCGGGTGAGAACAACAACGGCAGAGAAACATTTACAATAAATAGGAGATCCGTAGCCGCAGTTTGGTAATAAGCTGCGCGAACAGCTGGCTCCGGCTCACTTTGCGTTCTCCCTACTGACCTGGTGTAGACACCCGGCTTGCCGAGACCACAGGGTGGCCCAAACGAGACGACTCCGACGATTCGGAAAATGCACGTGATGGCGTTGCTGGGGTTCGCTCGCATCTGGAGCGGGCCGCCAGAGTCACCCTGGGTAAGACAAATACAAAATAATGATATTTAGTTCTACGGGGAATGACACTTTGCTGGGAGGGTTCAGCTGCCTTCCCGTCCCGGCCCCTCACCTGGCAGGTGTCTCGGTTGTGCTCCCCGCCGCCCGCGCACAGCTGGGTGGCGTCCTCGAGGCCGCGGGGGACCTTCTGCATGTCCAGCTCCAGGTTGTCCCTGCAGTACCGCATGTCGCGCACGGTGAGGTTCACTTTCAGCAGCGACTGACTGCCATCGTCCTCTACAGACAAAAGAAGCAACGAAGCCTTCAGAACTGGGAATCCATTTAGTCGTGTACGAGGGGTGTGGAACTGGACACAAAATGTATACATCGCGAACAACGCGTTGAGAAACAATCATGACGCAACCGGACACAATCAGTGTGGATACAGAGTTCACGAAACGCAAGCAGGATTTTCACGCCAGGCGTGATTTTTCACGCCAGGCGTGATTTTTCACGCTTCGTAAGCTTCACACAGACAATCAGGAACCGACTTTCATCACGCGTAGCGTGAAATCACGCGTAGCGTGAAAATCACGCCCGCGTTTAGCGAACTCTGTATCCACCTTCACACACAATCGAAAACAATCACTCACAATCCGAAACAATCACACACAATCTGAAACATTGATTGTCTAGTGTACAATTTTTTGGCCAGTTCCATACCCCTCGGTCGCGTACATTACCGAAGCTGGTGGCGCCCCATCCGGTTGCGACGGCGTCCCTCCCCGTGTTGTCCACATCCATGTCAGTGTCCAGGCAGGCCGGATACACCTCCAGCTTCTGCACCCGGGCGGGTTGCGCAAGGCGCACGAGGGCTATGTCGTGGTACTTGACCGTCGCGACGTACTCGGGGTGCACAATGACCTGTGCGACCTCTATCAGCTGGTGGGTGTCGGCGGCCTTGGGCTCCTGACTGGTGCGGTTGGTCGCGCCGAGCAGCACCCAGCCCACTGGTTTCCTGTGAAACGACAAGCAAACGAACGTGTGATATTTCTCATTGTACGTCAATCGATCAGCGATCAAGAACGCACCCAGAGAGAAAAGCGCAGTGTGCGGCCGTGAGGATGAAGTCGGGGGCGATGAGGGAGCCACCACAGGAGTACTGGATGTTGTCTCGGTCTCCGTAGCCCAACAAGGCCTGTCGCCAGAAGGCATATTGGTTCAAAAAGACTGAGGGATGGGGGCGGGTGCTCGAATTGCGAGCATTATACACAGCGCATTTCGGCTAACC